CTCTAAAGACTTGGTGTGGAGACCTCTGGCTCACACAGTCCTGCACGTCTTTGTTCCTGGTGAATTTCAAGACTTTGAGTTTCAGGACTTTTCTACCGTGGGGTTTCACAGTGTGGAAGATGAAGGATCAGCCAGTTCAAAGTGTCTCCTGGTTGCTGCAGGAGCCTGTGGTGTCTGGAGAATGTGTGGACACCCCCTGCTGGGCAGGGTCAGTAGTTTCAGAGGCGTCTTGTCACCCTTGGATCTGAGTGTTTCTGGACGTTGCAGCTCTGGTCTGAAATCTGTGAGGATTATCAACCGGTTGCTGGAGCTCTGGAGACGCTGTCTGATGGGACATGAGTGCCTCCTGTTGGAGGAGCACAGTCTGGGTTTGGTTGGTCCTCACACTGATGATCCTTCGCCTCCTTGAGGTCTTTGTCCCAGTGTGTTGACCCTGGAGGAGGTGGAAGGTGAACCTGTCTGACTGAAGCGTCTCAATAACAACAAAGAGTTGGTACAAAGCTCCACTAACAGAGAAGCTGTCTGACCTGCAGAGGTTGTCCTCAGGATCACAGCAGTCAAAGTTTCCTGAGTGTCTTCGTTCAGACTGAGACTTGTGTCCTTTCTGTCCACACAGAGAAACTGTTCTCCATTGTCTTCACGCCTGGTTCCTCTCTTCATGCTGCTGGACTCTTTGGTCTCAGAGCAAACACAAGTTCATTGGTCCTTTTGAGCAGGAGAGTTGATAGTTACTGTTCACTCCTCTCTCTCTCTCACTCTCTCTCTCTCTCTCTCTCTCTCTCTCTCTCACTCTCTCACTCTCTCTCTCAGAATTGATGATGGAAGTTGATTTGAATAAATACAGGTGTGGTCTCATGTGTTTTCTGTAGAAAGAATCAATCTTTCAATTAGTTTTCACTGGAGTTGATCTGAGTCATTGATCTGATGCAGGTTTTATTTACTGATTGAACAGTTTTTAAGAATCTTTTTTGTAAATTCCTCATTGAAAGATTGATGGATTAAAGTTACTGTCTCTCTCTCTCGCTCTCTCTCAACCTCAGTTGTATCCTGGTCGGGGTTCGGTGGTGAAGCTGATGGAGACTCTATCTGATTGGCTGCTCAGTTTACCGCTGCAGCGAATCCCCTACCAAGCCGTCCTGGACTTGGTGGACAACAAGATGAGGGTGAGACACACACACACACACACACACACACACACAGGGGTTTGGGTTAGACTGGTGGCTGGACAGGTGCCAGTTCACCTCCTGGGCACTGCTGAAGTGCCCTTGAGTAAGCAACCAACCTTCTGCCCATCACTCCACCATCTCGCTCCATATTTGCATGTCTATGAGCCCTTTGTGTGTGTGTGGGATTGTGGGTTAAAAACTGCATGTATAAAAATGAGTGTAAAAAGAATTTCCCCCTTGAGGGATCAATAAATCTTCTAACACACACACACACACACACACACACACACACACACACCTCAGCTTTCATACACGTCCTGTCGACGGTCTTGTGCGGTGTTCTTACATCAGACCCCGGTGACTTGTGACCAGATGGAGACGTCCTCTGGAGAAATATCAGAGGATCTCCAGAGTTCAGTGCATGTCTGAAATCTGCACACTGACTTCCCGTTTCCTGTCCAGATCTCAGGCGTGTTCTTGGGGGCGGAGCTTCGATGGGTTGGTTGTCAGGGCAGTAGGCCGGGGCTACGAGGTTACCCGTGTTCCCTGTGGACTCTTTTTCACGTTCTGACTGTCCAACACGATGCCACGCCCACTGCTCTGGAGAACACAGGTAACGCCAAAACACCTGTGATGTGACTGTGCACGTGCTTTCCTGTCTGTGACCCTGTCGTCATCACGCAGGTCTGGAGAGTGAGGCGGCACCGGTGCTGCAGGTGATGCGTCGGTACATCAGGACGTTCTTTGGCTGTGAGACGTGCGGCCGACACTTTGAGCAGGCGGCGTCAATCAGTCTGGACGCAGTGACGAGCAGAGAGCAGCAAATCCTGTGGCTGTGGAACCAACACAACATGGTCAACGACAGACTGGCAGGTAAACACGTCTCATTGCTGCTAGCACCATGCTAACGTGCATCTGATGTCACAAAGACACAAATAATCCTAATAATCATACAACAGTTCAATTCAAGTTTATTTGTATTGCACCAAATATCTATGATCTCGAGACTCTTCACAGAGAAGGTCAAGATCTTCAGATCTTCTTCATATAGAGAAACCAACAGTGAGGAGGGGGGAGAGAGGAGAGAGATAGTGAGGAGGTGGCTGAGCAGAGAAACATGGGGAAGAGAGGAGAGAGGGGGAAAAGGGGAGAGAGGACAGAGATAGTGGGGAGGGGGAGAGAGAGGAGAGAGAGACCAGGAACAGGTATCAGCAGGTTCTAATGAAAACAGTAACAGTGGAAAGAAGTTATTGATTATAATTGATAACAGTCACAATTCATATGATGATTCATTACTGAAGTGTTTTCATCCTAACACCCCCACAGGCTCTCTGAGTGACGACCCCCTCTTCCCTAAAGCTCCGTGGCCAAGCCCCGCCCTCTGCGCCTCCTGTCACGAGGAGAAAAACGGCGTCCATGTCTGGAACCAGGACAACGTCCTCCGCTTCCTTCGACGTCACTATGGCACCTCTAACCTGTCCCCCAAATACACCCTGACCCCCCCACGGCTTCCGACCGCTCAGCCACAGGATGAGCGCCGAGACGGAGATGGGAAGGAGGAGGAGGCTGGACCCGCACAGGACAGGAGCGAGGAGAAAGGCGACACGAAGGGGGGAGGCGGGAGAGGAGGGGGAATGTGGATCCTGGGTCTGGGCTTCAACAGCGTCGACATGAGTCTGTGTGTCGTCCTCTACGTCTGCTCCTGCCTCTTTCTCATGCTGCTCTTCTTCTTCTTCAAAGTTCGCTCCAGGAGGAGGAAGCTTCGACACTCCCGCCCCCACGTCTGACCCGAACCAGATCCGTCCAGACCAGACCGGACTTGGTTTAGACAGACCCATACAGGTTTAATGCAGGGTCAGTTCAAGTCTGGAAGTTCAGAGTGTCTCTGAAAACGAACCTCTGCTTTAAACGTGAAGTCAACATTAAAGTTTCAGACTGAACTGGACCTGGGCCCTGGTTCCTGGACCACTCTGGTGGTTGGATGTTAGAGGATCAGATGTTGAACTGGGTCTGGACTTGTTGCACTTAAGGACTCAATTTTAAACCTGGTCTGGACCCTAAGATCTGGATTCACGACACAAACCGGATCCTGAGACCTGGTGTATTTTTACCTGGACCCACAACTGTGAGGAAAAGGACTCGATGAGAGAACGGACTGGTTCTTAGTTCACTTAATGCCAAACTCACCTGTTCTGTGGCTCCGCCCCCTGTTGTATGTGTGTGTGTGTGTCACTGTGAAACATGGACCCATCTTGATGAATGACTCTTGGTTTTATTGATCTGTTTACTTTTTGCTGCTGCAGGTTTTTGTTTTAGTGGATTTGGCGCCACCTTGTGGTCAGTTATTTTTAAATGTAAATATTAAAAGTTTAGATTTCACTGGAAATGAAATGATGAACATGAACAAGACGTTTATTTTCAGATTA